CTGCTGCCTGCCCTCTATGTGACTACCCCTCAGAGACAGTGGAACATCATCTGTTCTTCTGTAGAAAACTAACTGATTTAAGGGGATGTTTTCTTCCCAAGCTACCCCACACATCTAATTGCCTCTACTCCTCAAGACAACAATTAGAACAAACATGCAACTGTTATCGAATGGCATCATGCAGAAGAGTTAACGCTCATATGCTACTGGATCGCTAACAACAACAACAACAACAACAACATAACAACAACAACAACAAAAAGCTAGTATTTTGACTCTTTTTGCTTATCTTTCATGTCATGTAAGTAATACTTATCATTTTTGTAATACTAAGTACTCTAAAAAAAGTAGGTCATTTTATAAAACTAACATTTAAGTGTTCACAGTACCCAAGTCAAATTTTAGAAAATGATCTTTTTTTTTCATGACCATGTGGCAATTGTTTTCTTTTTTTTGGGGGGGGGGTCAAGTTTAAGTTTGTGCTTATCAAAAGCTGTAACAAATCTTGAACATTGTAAGTGAAGAAAGATGATAGGTTTAACTCAACATCAGAGAAATCAAGCCATCACATCAACACGCTCCGCATGTTTCTGCTGTTGCCAGGACATTTTGAACATCTTAAAATGGCTTTTCATTCCTGCATGAAGCAGCAAAGGAAAAGGTACACAATGAACTAGCAGAAATGTGAGTAGTAGACAAATATAATGCGTTTGTTGTTATTGGTGGTGGTGGTGGGTTTTTTTTTTTACTGTGGGCTGATAATGCTCCTTTCAAACCTAGATCTATAGGGTTAAAAACAAAACAATCAATAAATTGATAATGTGATGTTGTGTTTTAAACTGTGTCTTTGACTGTGTCACTTTGCTAACTTTGTATCATTTCACTGGTTTTCAGGATCATGGTTCTAGATGCAGGTCGCATCATTGAGTTTGACAGCCCTGACAATCTGCTATTAGACCCTCAGTCAGCATTTTATTCAATGGCTCAACAGGCAAATCTTGTCTGAAGATGAAAATCCAATCATGCACATTATTTTAAAATGTCCTGTTGGGCATGAAGACTGGACTTTAAAAAAATCCCTCTTCATTTTTTGTGAGTGTGTGCGTTTGAGTGTGTTTGTGTTTACATGTGTTTGTGTGTGTGTGTGTATATGTGTGTGTGCGTGTATGTA